ACCAACTCGGGGGGATTGGAGATCCTGGCAATTTGGGGGCTCGTCCGGGATCAGAGGTTTTCCTGCACAGGCGGATTCGATCTAAAGCGCTTACGCCTGCTGAACGCAACGTACTCCCATGTCGGCCTCAAAATACTGCATATTGAATAAGCTACAGTAAGGAGTATGTTGTGGATTGGTGGTGTAAGAGCCAAATTAATACTTGAGCAATTCTCTGAAAAAAGAAAAGAATAAAAAAAATTGCATGGATGGGATGAACACCTCCGAGTGTTGGTATTGAACACCGCCGAGTGTTTGTTTGCGTACTGCCGGGTACGGGAAAAGTACTGCAGTGCTTAAGGTCTGGAATCCAAAAAAGAAGTGATTACTGTTGTTTATTGGGTACCTGCTTGTACCAAGGGATCAAGTATCCGTCATAAATCAAAGGAATCGAAGGGCGCTGAAGTTTGGGAATAAATAAATTAACTAGGGTTTAGTCGATACCGGTGAGTATCGAGGGATCGAAGAGCAAGAATAAATTAAGGAAATTGATTCGGAGTCAATATCCTGGTCTCAGTTTGGCAAGCCCCTCAGACCCTGACGAGGGCTGATTTTGCTAGGTGTGGTGTCCTGGGGATCTGGGGACCACCAAAAGTCTGGTCTCGGTTTGGCAACCCCCTCAGGACCCTGACGAGGGCTGAGTTTGCTAGGTACAGGCGCCTGGGGATCTGGGGACCCCCGAAGGTAGGAAAGATTGATTTACTAAAAAGAGGGGAAACAGTCATTGAAAATTAAGAGATGAGAAATAGGGAGAATTGTTGTATATAGTGTCTGTTTTTTGTATTGATGTTTGTAGTTTTTTGAGTCTTTTCCTAAACTCAGAGATTGGCTGTAAATTGTTGAGTGCTGCTTATTGAGTGTATAGTGCACGATACACTTGATACAGTATCTTGATGATGGAAGCAAAGGTCTGATCAAAGGAACATTGATAGCAAAATGTGAGAAGGTGAATGTGTGGAAAAAAAGGAAACTTCACAAAGAAATTGACAAAATAGAGGACTTGAGGTCCGTATGGTTTTCGTGTTGGATATAAAGTAAAGCCGTAGACAAAAACAACCAACAACGGTGTAATTCGGAAAAACCACCTCCATACGAGGGTAAAAAAAAAAGGAGAGGCTGATTCTCAACCAACAAGACTGCTGCTGCAGAGCCATTTTTTTTAAGCTCTCCAAGCTATTACTACACTTTTGATTTAAAAATAGTAGTATTGTAGACATGCATTGAAGAAAGAAAAAGAAGATTTAAAGTCTTTAAAGCAACAACGGCTAGAATAAGCATAATAAATCTCTGTTGAAGCAGTGAGGGTTTTATGGGAGTAAAAAGGTCACAGCAGTGAGAAGATGTGTGGGAGCAACGGTGGAAGCCAATAAGGCTGGACAAAGGTTTTATACCTCCTCACTTTAAGAAGCGCGCACACACACACATACTGTTGAATAAAGTTAATCCTGAGTGCCATCATTTAGTGATATAATTAGGTTTATGCATCTTTCTTGAATACCATGATATATAAATAATAAAGAGGATAAATGGTCCGTTTGCTTTTCAGTTTAGAAGAATAAGCTCATCATTACTGGGCTGTCAAAGGTCTGCCAAAAACTTTTACAGGAACAAGCGGATTGTAGAGGGGATTTTATGAAATCACCTAACAGATTGATGAGACATTGCAACTTTTAGTTGCCCTGAACTACTTTCTTTTTAAGTGTAACACGTGAGTCAAGGATTTAAAATATGATGAAAAATTATTAGAACAAATAGAAATAAACATGAAAACAAATTGAGCAAAGCAAGAAAGAAATTTTTTTGGGGAAAAAACACAGAGTGCTTATTTGCACGAATGTAAGGAAACAGGGGTGAAACACACAGGTCATCACCCAGGCACTGCGGGAGTGCAAAGGGAATGGTTTAGACAGGCGGTACTGGAGGGCGTACCAGAGAGTGTGAAAGCTAAAATGATCACTAACCCAGACCTGCCAGGTAGCGACTCTGCTGTGTGGGAGAGACATTTGCTGCACCAGGTTAAGGAGTGTCCTGGTAAAAGAAGACAGGGGAGGGGTAGAGGTGTCTCACCCCAGGAAGCATGGGCTCCCAACGCACATGCTGCACCGCCACCTAGAGGACAGTACCCCACACTGGAGGACTGGGGCTATCAGGCAGATGCCTCTCAGTGACACGCCCCCAAGAGAGACCCGGACAGCAGGGTCAGGGCGGACCCCATGCTGTCACTCACGGTACTACAACAACAATTGCCGTTTCTCGTTGACACTGTGGCCACATACTCCACCATACAGGCAGCGGGCTCGTCTGCTATGTCCGGAGATGGCGTCAGCACTGTGGGGTTCTCCAAGGTGTCACAGAAACTGCCTCTAACAGTCCCCCTACTGGTGAAAGTGGGCAATCGGACATTGACTCATTCTTGTGTTGTTTCGCCTCAAGTTCCAGTGAATCTTATGGGAAGGAATCTTCTCATTAAGACGGGGGCTCCGATCTTGTGCAGCCCAGATGGACTAAGCGTCACCATGATGGATGGAACGGTTCTGCATTGCAATGACAATGGATAAACAAATGGTCAGTGGATGGTGCAGCCACTGCAGCAACAACAACAACGATATGCAGACATTTATTGGGGCCTCTTGAAGCCTGAGTGTTCTGAAGGCCCAGGGGTTATGACTCTTTACCAAAAGTGGAAGCCTTGGATATCTCTTCTTGATCCGTATGTTCCTCCTCCAGATCCTCCTCATGTAACATTGTTTTATGATAGACAAGGGGATGAGTGCTATTGTGACGAATTCATGGAACATTTAGAAAACACGGAATGGGAGGTGACGTCCCAAAATCTCTATGTGGGCCCGGAAGGGGTAGCCTCAGCTGTCATCCTCTCCCCCGATCAATCAAAAAGGTGTCCAGAGACCACAGACGCGAAAAGACAAACCATCCCTGCACGGAAACCCTTCTTGAGAAACTTCTAGACTACCTCTGGTCAGAAGGTCCGACTGATGTAGGTTTTTGTAATGCATGTTAACCAGTGACGTTTGAAGTTCATGACGGTCTTCCCATTTGGCAACCTCAATACCCTCACAAGCCAGCCACGGCAGAAGGGATCAAAGAAACTATCTAGGGCCTCATCAAACAGGTGTATTGGAGCCCTCACAGTCAGCCTGGAACACGCCCATTCTTCCTGTAGAAAAGACAGGGGCCGGTAAATATCGCATGGCACATGACCTCAGAAAGATAAATGACAGACTGGTAACCACTACAGTACCTGTCCCAAACCCGTACACTGCATTACCTAGTCTAACACCACCACCACAACAGCAATGGTTCCCTTGCATTGATTTGGCGAACGCATTCTTTTTCCTGCCGCTACACGAAGACTTACGGGATGTGTTCTCATTCACGTATGTGAACAGACAGCTACGTTATACTCGGCTACCACAAGGGTTCGCGCTTTCGCCAGGTATCTTTAACCAAGTGTTGAAACAAGCGTTAACAGGGTGCTCCCTGCCAGAGGGCACCACATCAATCCAATAAGTGGACGACATCCTCCACGCATCCACTTCAACGGAATCCTGTTTGGAAGCAACAGACACCGTCCTACGCCGGTTGGCCAAAACAGGTTTTAAGGTCAGTAAGTCTAAGTTGCAGGTCGCCAGAAGACAGGTTTCATTTTTAGGTAAGCGGCTCAGGGCTCTCGGCCGCTCACAGGTTCACTATTTCCATCATCCACGTCCACAAAACGTGAAAGAAATGCTTTCGTTTTTGGGCTTCACAGGGTTTAGTAGACAATTCATTCCATGCTATTCGAATCTCACTCAAATTCTGCGTGCGAAGGTAAACGAGAAAGGAATGCGAAATCTCACTGCTTATCTCGAATGGGACCAAGGGGCGGAGGAGGCGTTTATCAAGCTAAAAACGGAACTGGCACAGTTTGGTACAGTATATCATCCACAATCTCAAGGCAAAGTAGAACGCATGAACCAAAACTTGAAACAAAAATTGGCAAAAATCTGTGCACAGACAAATTTAACCTGGGTTCAAGCACTCCCACTCGCGTTAATGGCCATTAGAAGCTTAGTAAATCAAGGTACAAGTTTCAACCCGTATGAACTGACCAACGGGAGACAGTTCCCTGGATCCAGTGCTGGCCTGAAGCTTAGGCCCAACCCGGAAGCTCCACCAGGTGAGTATGCATGTCGTATAACGATCTACGAGCTCTTGTTTCAGATTTTGTTGACCAGGTGCAAGACAAAACGGGGGATCAGAACGCCCACAACCCCCACACGGAAGCCTGGGTCCTCCTGAGGGTCATTAAGAGAAAGTGGTCAGAGCCGCGGTGGACCGCACCATACCAGGTGGAGAAGAGAACCTCACATGCAGCGAGGCTGAGAGGGAAAGGTGATACCTGGTACCACTGGAGCCAGTGCGCCACCACAGTGGAACCAGCTCGCACTCACCAGGACGTCCTGAAAGATCAGGAGCAAGAGGCGGCAACGGGCACCGCAGGGTCCCTAAACGCACTCTCAACAGGCAGTTAACCGACAGACACCCAGAGCATGGTGATCTGTGTCGACTGTCTACAACCAAGAAGACCAAGAATAAGTGTATAACTACCCTCTCCTCTGTTCTATCTTTCTCAATTCTCCGCATTAGTTTAGCAAAAAAACAAGAACAAGACACAATCCCGTTATCGGCCTGGAAAGGAGGCAAGATGAGGAGGCTGAGGCCAGCAGACGTTCTCCAATAGCTGGGGTGATCTCTGAAGAGATCAAAAGGGGGAATCGTGAGATGCATGTACTGGTAAAATATATTATAACATTGTTTTGTGCTAAAGCCATGTCTCAAGTGTCCTGTATTTGACCCTGATGTGCAAAGAGCAGCATGATACAAAATGTTGTAGCTGTGTCTAGTTTGCAGCTGTGTCCTGAGAAGGGAGGACGGTCGACTCGATCTCATCGCTTCAAAACAAAGGACTTCTCTTCATGGCCTTGGTTCATATCTTACTCGGTACGAAAGTTCCGGATCCAAGTTTTTACTTTATGTCAATTAATTATTATTTGCACCGGCCACTGAGGAGGATCTTGTGTGTTTGTGTGTGCTACCCTCAGCTTCACCTGGGTTCTTATCTCAACCTGCTTTGCAGCTTCTTGTAACTGGCACGGAGAATGTCCTTCATATGTGTATAAAAACTCAGCGTTCTTATTGCTCGGAGACGCCATTTACACAGAGCACCGTGATACGTGCCTGTGTATTTGACCTCCTGCTTGCAAGCAATAAATTGACTTTATGCAACTTTGTTTTTATCAGACAAATCATTCTCTTCTACCGAGCTTTTATTGAACAATTTGGCGTCACAAACAGGATTCACTGACCGTCCGTCAGGCTCCAGGGGACCGTCCGGAGAAAAAGGCCTTTTCCAGGATCACCAGCTGATGATCCTGCCTCATACCTCCTTAGACAAGAGAGAAAGGACGGGCGGAAACCAAAGGAGTCCTGATTGACGTCACGTGTATCCAGCGAAAAAGAATTCATTTCTACAAACTCGTTGAAGTTGAAATTCCAATTATAAAGTAGCAGTAAGAGTTGAACATAACGGAAACGGATGACTGATCAAGTGGTTGTTATAGTCTGGGGAATACAATTATTTTTTAACATTTTGGTGTTTTTTTAAATTATTATTATTTAGTACATGATTCCGGGATATTTCTAATGCATCATTTTATGCGAAGGTAGATAAGATCGTGTACGATAGAGATTTCACTCGGAACAAATTCTCTGAGATCGTAACATCGCTAGACTACAAGTAGAAGACAGGATTGTGTGTCTTCTCCATTGTATCCATCCCTGACAGGGGCAGGCGGGTCCTCTCCTGAACACGTGTTCAAGAGATCAAATTCCTGCACCACCTCCAGTCCAACAATCACCACCACCGTACAATCCCGATCCAACGGTTGGCAGACTCGTAACACGCAGTCAAACCCGGCTGGGAGACCAGGGAGGTGCAGACGTCAAATCATGCTCACCCCTCAACCCATTGAGACCTGACCCCACAGCTCAGTCCACCCCGGACTCTGCATGGTCAATCCACGACCCATCCTCCTGGAGGGGCACAGCCGGCAGAATTGTGGATTTTCTTAGTTCTAACACCATCATGGACGGTAAACTGGATGGGTCTCATATTCAAGCCCCCATGTTTCAAGTTCCAGGGCCACAGGATGGACTACCTGCCTCCCATCTGCCCATCATAAAAATGGCATGGCTTTTGGAAAAGAGTTCCTGACGTTTTGCAAAGACATAACAGCCATATGTGCTGCTGTGGTTGCGGCCTTCCCTGCGGCTGTCAACATGGCACTCATCAACAGCACGAAACAAGGTAAAGCCGAAGATGTAACATTTTACTATCAGCGTCTTGTGGCTGCCTTTCAGATTCACAGCGGCCTCGAGAAGCCCACAGACATAACCAACATGACTGTGTGGGAAACTCATCTCACGAACGCCTTCATGAACAGGCTTCTGCCAGACGTCAAAACTGCCACTGAACACTCTGTCGTGGGTCTGGAAGATGCCAGGCTCACAGAAGTGGTAAAACATGCACGACACAATTATAAAATGCATGTGGAAAATCAAATGTGTCAAGACAAACGCAGCAAGCAGACTGGGGAGAAAGCCCAGCTTGCGATGCTCCAAACCGTAAAACAGTTGACACTGGGTGCAGAAGGAGGACGAGACCCCCACCCATCCGGAAATTCTTATGGGAGGGACCAACAGAGAGGACGAGCGTATGGAATAAATCATGGGAGAAGAGGGCGTTTTCAAGGATGAATGCTTCCTCTGTGGCAAAACAGGACATTGGTACAAAGACTGCCCCTACCGTTCAAACCAGGTACGTCAGCCACATGGACGACAGCGCCACTCCGGGACTGACAGAGGGGGTCAACAATTCGGCACTTCAGACTGACGGTGTGTGTGGGATGGAGATTGCACGTGCCTCTCCAAAACAGGGAAGTGAAACACACCACACACACACACAATGGTGCAACGAAGACCTGCTTCCTCGCACGCACACCCACATACACATGCACACACAATGCTGCAATGAAGACCTGCTTCCTCGCACGCACACTGCAGAACAACATACTGTTTTGCTCAGCATCATTGCTCACTTAGAGCAACAGAAACAGAATACATCCACACCACCACCACTCATGTATGCTATGTTTTCATCAGATGCATACAAAGATATGCCAACTACAAGAGTAATTGTGGAAGGGAAAGAATTGACGTTTTTAGTAGACTTCGGAGCTACTCATTCAGTAATTCAAGAAAAACATTTTCCAAATCAAAAAATGAGTGGCCGGTATGTATATTCTCAAGGGGCTTCAGATTTGACTGTGACAGAAAAATTTACTGCACCTATGACGAGTGTACACTCTGACGAGACTGACCTAAACCCTGACATAAAAGTAAAACATTCTTTTTTACTCTCTTCACTCTGTCCCATAAATCTGATGGGCAGAGACTTGATGTGTACATATTGTATTTGTTTGACGTCATCTCCAAATGACCTTAAAGTGGTTAGGCGTAGAGTCGCACTCCAAATGGTGCAAAAGGCTCCCTCTAATCCTCTTTTTGTGTATCAGTGGTGGATCCCAATCGATGATGCTCGGAGGCTAAGCCAGGCTGGTGAAGCACGGGTTTCTCCTCATGCAGACCGTATGAACCCTGAACACCTGCATTGCACAACATATGTCTCAGAGGGCCCAGACCACTCTTTTGAAGAGACATGTTTTGAGGCCCTCAATGATGCAATTTCCTGTTCTACTTTGTACCGGTCAACTTGTAAATCTGCTGTGTCTATTTCTCTGTCTCCCACACAGAAAGAGCTGTTTCAAGTTCCCAGCTCACATCCCCATGTCTCACTGTCTAAAGGACGCCTTGACCAATGGAGGGATTTGGGACCATTTGTGGCTCAGTGTGAATCTCTCACTGACTGGGAGGAGACAATCGATCCGCTCGTTCTGCGCTCCGCCTCTACAGGGTTTCACAGAACTCACTGTGTACTCCTCACACCAGCTTGTCGATCTGTCTATGTGTTTTATGAGCACAACGACAAAGTTGAAACATTTTTAACAACTCCCACATCGATTTCTCCCGCTCTTGCTTCTGTTCCACAGACACTCTGGGCGGCGCACAAATATGATCAACAACTGCCAACCGGTCGTCATCACTCCACGTTCTAACTTCCGCCCCCACAAACACCAGTACCCCCTGCGACAAGAGGCCATTGGCGGTATCACAACTGTATTCAATTTGCTCTCTCCCGGCTCTGCACTTCTGCAGTATGTTGATGACTGTTTGATTGCAGCTCCAAATCAGGCACAGTGTCAGACAGACACGTTTAAAACTACTCAAACATTTAGCGAAGGAAGGCCACAAGGCCAGCCTTTCTAAATTACAATTTGTGTCTCAACATATCATGGTCATGACATATCTGGAGAAGGAAAAACCCTCCCCCCAAAACGAATCGCCGCGATCGTATCAATACCGAAACCCAACACCAAAATCCAACACCAAAAAACAGATGATGTCCTTTTTGGGCATGTGCTCATACTGTCGATCATTTATTCCAAACTACTCACAAATGGAACAACCGTTATCAAACTTAATCCATGGGAAAAATCTTACAGCACACGACAAAATAATCTGGACTGAAGAGGGTCTTGCGGCCTTCACACAAATGAAATGTGCTTTGCAAACTCCTCTGCCGACTGCCGAATCCGAATAAGCCATTTACTCAAACAGTAGATGAAAGACAGGGCTGCATGACTTCTGTGCTGCTACAACCCCATGGTGATAAACTCCGTCCCGTTGGCGTATTTCTCCGCAAAACCCGACCCTGTCGCTGCAGGACTGCCACAATGTTTGCGCGCTGTGGCCGCGGCTGAAAAGGCACTCACAGCCTCACGTGGCATAGTGGGTTACGCACCACTCACTCTGCTCGTTCCGCACGCGGTTTCTTTGATTCTCCTCGAACAGAAAGCTCGCTATTTGCGTTACCACACGTCTCTCCTGGACATGCCGAATGTCACTATAAAACGTTGTACTAACCTTAACCCTGCATCATTACTTCCTATTCCTGGGGATGGGGAGGACCACAACTGTTTGGCTGAGCTCCAAGCTCAGTGCACTCCTCGCCCTGACCTAGTGGACACTCCACTAACTAACAGCGACATGGTAATGTATGTGGATGGATCCGCCCCCCGCGATCCTCAGTCTGGTGAAAATCGTGTTGGTTTTGCTGTTGTTTCTGACTGACTGTTGGTCTGCTGTGTTCAGGTCCTCTGCCATGTCACCTCTCAGCCCAGGCAGTCGAGCTCATCGCTCTGACCGAGGTCTTTAAACTGGCTAAGGGTAAAGCAGTCACAGTTCACACTAACTCTCGCTATGCGTTTGGTGTAGTACATGATTTTGGGGTGCTGTGGAAACACAGGAACTTCCTTAAATCGGACTGTAAGCCCATCCTACATCACACTCTCATTGCTGAACTGTTGGAATCCATCTTACTACCCACAGCTGTTGCTGTCTGTAAATGTGCAGCACACACGTCCAATACGGATGATGTATCACAGGGAAATGCTCGAGCAGACACGGCTGCAAAAGCTGCTCTGCTTCCGCTTCCCACTACCTGTGCTCTCATGTGCTCTGAGGAGTCAGTTCCCTCCTCTCTTACAGCGATGCAGTCACTCTCTACCCCTGATGAAAGACGGCTTTGGTCCACATCTGGCTGTGTTTACACCAACGGTATCTGGACTGGACCCGACGGCAAGCCGTGTTTACCTATACACTATTTTGCTCATTATGCTAAGTTGACTCATGGGTTAGACCATGTGTCAAAAGGGGGAATGTTACGTGCACTTAATGAGACGTGGTTTACAAAAGGGTTCACAGCATATGCACAAAAATTTTGTTTTGCATGTGTCACCTGTTCTACTCACAATGTAGGCAGGCCCGTGGGCGTGTCCAGCCAGGCTGCACACCCACCACCAACCCGCCCATTTGAGCACATTATGACGTTTTGTGGAGTTATCTCCATCTGAAGGTAAGAAACACTGTCTAGTGATGGTAGACATGTTTTCCAAGTGGGTTGAGGTTTTTCACTAGCAGTAGCCAAGGCCCTAATTTCTGAAATCATCCCTCGATGGGGCATTCCTTCTAAAATATCAAGTGACAATGGTTCTCACTTTGTCAACCAGGCCATTACAGAATTAAGCGCATACCTGGGTATTGATTTAAAAACACACTGTGCATACCATCCAGCCAGTGGAGGGGCTGTGGAATGAGAAAATGGCACACTCAAAACCAAATTGGCAAAATGCTGTGCAGACTGCCCTGGACAAAAGCTCTGCCTCTAGTGTTGATGTACATGCGCATGAGGAAAACGAACACGAAGCAACCTGAGTCCCTTCGAGATATTGTTTGGTTTTCCTCCTCACGTAGGAACCGAGGCACCGAAGGCACCACTCTTTCAACCGCATTATGCGAAAATGAAATGTTAAAATATTGTGCACAACTCTCTTCTGCTCTGTCTAACATACGACAACAGGTTGCAGCCGCCCTCCCAAAACCAGATCCAGTACCATCAGCGGGATCAGGCGACCCTACCCCTACAACAAGTGTCAATCAACCGACACCACCGTTGCAGTGACCACGGACGGGTTCACAACGGGCAGTTGACCGACAGACACACAGTGCATTGTGATCTGTGTTGACTGTCTACAACGCGGATGCCTCACAAAAAAGACGGTTGGCAGACTCCACATCCCAACGTGTACCTGCGGACCAACACAAGAAGAAGAACACGGCCAGGACCCCTCCACATAGACACAGTAGTCGTTTGTGTCACTACGGTTTTATTCATATTATTGCCTGCTCCAGTTTCATTATCTAAGTATCTTTTTGTGATTTTGTAATCAGCTATCTAAAGAGTGGTTTACACTTGCTTGCTAAACACGAGACTTGGTCTCACAAAAACATAATTTTTTGATCAAAGAATAATCAAAAGAGTGGAATGTAATGGTAAAATATGTTATAACATTGTTTTGTGTTAAAGCCGTGTCTCAAGTGTCCTGTATTTGACCCTGATGTGCAAAGAGCAGCATGATACAAAATGTTAGTTTGCCGCTGTGCCCTGAGAAGGGAGGACGGTCGACTCGATCTCATAGAAGCTTCAAAACAAAGGACTTCTGTTCATGGTTCATATCTTATTCGGTACGAAAGTTCCGGATCCAAGTTTTACTTTTATGTCAATTAATTATGATTTGCACCGGCCACTGAGGAGGATCTTGTGTGTGTATGTGAGTCTGCATGTTCTCCCTGTGTCTGCGTGGGTTCTCTCAGGGTACTCCGGCTTCCTCCCACAGTCCAAAGACATGCTCTGGGGATCAGGTTAATTGGGTACTTTAAATTGCCCGTAGATGTGTGAATGTGAGTGTGAATGGTTGTGTGTCTCTGTGTTAGCCCTGCGATTGGCTGGCGACCAATCCAGGGTGTACCCTGTCTATCGCCAGAAGTTGGCTGGGATGGACTCCAGCCCCCCCGCGACACTGTGTGCAGGATAAGCGGTTTGACGATGGATGGATGGATGTTATCGTAATTAAAAGAGGTGTGAAAGCTTATCCCCCAAGCCCTGCTGGCGATGGTCCGCCAATTAGCGCAGAAATAAGCAACAGTGCTGTGGCATCCTGTATCTTCTGCTGCTACGCAACTACTAGTACGACCGCTCCAAGATGGCGGCCGTATTTCTCGCGACCAGAAGCCAATGCGGCGTCTATGTATATTATGTATATGGGGTTGGGGGGCAGAGTTCAGAGTTCAGGGGGGTAGAGTTCAGTAGAGTGACAGCTGCAGCACCCTGTAGCGTCTCCCAGAGGGGAGGAGGGGAGAAGGGCTGGGGTGAGAGCTGTTCTTTTCGATGCTGCGTGCCCTCCGCATACATCTCTTGCTCTGGACAGCCTCAATGGTGGGGAGTGAGGAACCGGTGATGCGTTGGCCAGTTTTCACCACCCTCTGCATTGATATACGGTCCGCGACAGAGCAGCTGCCATACCATACTGAGATGCAGTTTGTAAGGATGCTCTCTATGGTACAGCGGTAGAAACAGACAGATGGGCCTTCTTCAGTCTCCTCAGGAAGAAGAGACACTGGTGTGCTTTCTTTACCAGGGATGAGGTGTTGAGGGTCCAAGAGAGGTCCTCAGAGATGTGGACACCCAGGAACTTGAAGCTGGCGACACGCTCAACCTCCATCCCGTTGATATGGATGGGGATGTGTGTGCCAGTTTTCTTCCTGAAGTCCACAATTAGCTCTTTGGTCTTCTTGGTGTTGAGGGCCAGGTTGTTGTCGGCACACCAAAACGCCAGGTGCTGGACCTCCTCTCTGTAGGCCGACTCATCGTTGTCACTGATGAGACCAATCACCGTTGTGGTGAGAGGAAGGTGTTGATACCCAGGTGACTGAATTTTGTGATTAGTTTGGAGGGAATGACAGTGTTGAAAGCTGAACTGAAGTCTATGAACAGCATCCTCACATAGCTGTTGTTATTGTTCAGGTGAGAAAGTGTAAGAATACGTGTTCAAGAATTGGAGCCTGGTCGGGGTTATCAAAAATTCAGCCGAACGACTTCTCTCGTTCTGGGAGATTTATTTGTCAGATCACAGGTCAAGTATCAGCGCTGCGTTTGCAAAGGCAGGAGCAGTTCAGGCAGCACACAGGCCGGAAGAACAACTAACTAACATCAGCAAGAACATCATGTTTTATAACCCTTGAAAGACAGAGAAGGGAAGATTTCTATTGGCCCTAAACTGGCGTAGAGGAGGACCTTCCACCCCCCGCATCTAAAGATCCGGTCACATCCAATGTCCGGACTCCTGACTTAATGTAAACATCAGCGAACAGAGTGTGTATGTTGAATATTGTTGGTGTGTCTCTAAACCCCCCTTTGGCTGGCAAATCTGCTAGTTGACCCGCAGACCTTGCATTCCTCAGCCAGGACAGAAACTGACTCCCCATCCTGTCAGACTCGTGTCTGCCTGCTCGGCACATCCTGCTTCCCCCCTTACCTAACTCTTAAATCAAGACAAGACAGCGAACCCCCAACTAAGTCCATGAAAAGAACTTTTGATTATCAAAAGGGCGGAGTGTAATGCCGTGGAGATGGCATCCTCCGTACTCCTGTTCTTGCGGTAGGCGAATTGGAAGGGGTCCAGTGTGGGTGGTAAGCAGGTTTTGAGGTGAGCCAGGACCAGCCTCTCGAAGCACTTCATGATGGTTGGAGTGAGTGCAACTGGGCGGAAGTCATTTAGGCTCACTGCGGTGAGTGCTTTGGCACTGGCACGATGGGGGTGGTTTTAAAGCACGTGGGGACAGTAGCTTGGGCTAGTGACAGGTTGAATATGTCAGTAAAGTCATAAAGGGTCATTCCATGAGAGGGAACTCTCCACCTTATACCATAGTGATTAACAAGGACACTATGTTCTTTAGAAGTGCTCCAATAACACTAACTAAATAATTAAAAGGCGGAAGCCCTCATCCGTCCTCTCTCTGCACTGACGCCCCTCAGAACCTGCAGGAACGCCAAGGGATTTCTGACCGTGGAGGAGAAGTGATCAAAGTAAGAGAAGTTTACTTTTCATCAAATTGTAGGAATTTGTGAATAATGGTATAACATATGAATGAACCCACAAATCCATCTTCTCCCGCTGTCCACAATCCACAATAGATAGATACAGAGAGAGAGAGAGAGACAGAAAGAGAGATAGAGACACATAGATAGACACAGAGAGAGACAGACAGAGAGAGATATAGAGACAAATAGATAGAAACAGACAGACAGAGAGAGAAAGAGAGATATAGAGACACATAGAGAGAGAGAGAGACAGAGAGACAAATCCTCAACATTTTCAACAGTCGAGGTATGCTTACTTGGTTGTTGCTGTCGTATATCTTATCCATATTTTAAATTATCCAAAAAGTCATTTTTGGACACATTTTTATATGATCTTCAAAGTACACAAAGTCTGCTGGAGCGATGTCGTAAATGTATTCTATGTAAAGAGTTTTTAATTGGCGATAAAAATGGTCAATGGGGCAAATTTAAAATGAATAGGCAATGCTTACAGTGGATTCATTAAAAAGGAGTAGAATCGATGTTTAGGTAATTGTGCGAGAAGAATAAACCTGTATGTGTTTCTCTCGACAGGAGCTCCACTTAAATGAAACGGTGGGTGTGCTTGGGGTGATGGACGTATAGGGTGAGCCAGGCACCCTGAATATGCTCCTGGACAACGGCCGCATGGTCCTTATTGCGGAGGTCCTGTGAAAGACGATGGAGGATCACCTTGTTGACCCTCCTTAAATAACAAAAGCTGAGATGAATGAATAGAAGTTTTATATTGTTTGTAGTAATATTAGTAGTAGTATTAGTTATAGTTGTAATTGTGGTATTAGTAGTACTAGCTGTAGAAGTAGGTTTAGTATCAATAGCAGTTGAAACAGCTGGAATACTAATACTATTAGCCATAGTAGTATTTGTAATAACATTAGTAGTAGTAGTAGTATTAATAGCAGTATAAATACGAGTAGTATGGTAGTAGAAGTATCAGTTACTAGAAGTACTAGTAATATTCCTAGTGGTTGTAGTAGTATTTGAAAGAGTAATACATATTTCAATGAAACCGCTTCATTCTGAGCTTAATGGGTAAGGTACAGATAATCATTGAGGCTTTTATTTTGAAATTATGGAATTGGGTGAGAGGGCAATGGGAGAGAGAATGTTTGTTATTCAAACTAAGAAGTTGTTAATTAATAGGCCTTATCACAAACATTACAGTAAAAATTCCCTCCATGGGGCTTTTATTTTGAAATTATTGGATTGGAGGGGCTAGATAGGGAGGGAGGGAGGGTGAGGAAGGGAGGGGTGGTGAGGAAGAGATAGAGAGAGAGAGGGGGAGAAATCGACAGACAGACTGACTGTTTGAGTGATTAATGTCGGGGGAGAATTTGTTGAGCTGAATATTGTGAGTGTCTCAACTCTTATGTGACCTTGTTGGGAAACTCGTGACCTGACCTTGTCCACGATGGCATCCAGGTTTCCAAATGAGGCCTGGACAGACCGTATCATGTTCTTCTACTTTTCCGTCTGTCTCTATCTGTTGAATATGATTGACTAGGTCCCACTAAGAGAGGGTCACGGAGGTCCCAAACGACATCTGGTTACCAATTCCTTCAGATATGTATAAAAGCTCCTGTTCTCCCCTAGAAACTTTGTCAGATCTTCCTGCTCCTTTTGGGGGAAGGAACATTCTTTCTGTATTCTTTATGATTTTTCCTATATTGTAGTTAGTAAATACTTAATCACAAACGAGTCTCTGATACTTTTGATTTCTCACAATGGCAAAAAACACAATTCCACCACAATTAACAGTGAGAAGAGGTCAGGGTGGAGGGGGGGGAGTGTCTTCATCATGTTGGTCTGTTGACAGAAAGCATAGCTGCGTCATGTGACTCCACTAATCAGGTAATAGGAGCAGCTGTGAGTCACAGACAGAGATACTGCAGCGTGTGTGTGAGTATCCACGGCAACGGCGCACCTGGGTTCATTAACGAGCTGCTGAAATTGCAGAGACAGGACAGCGAGTTACACAAAATCCACACTTCAAACAAGTGTCCTCTAGCGCAAAACTATAACAGCTATCTAAAGATAAGAAGTTTCT